TTTTTTTACCTCTCCTCTCCAAATAACTTCTGCTTAGCTTTCCGAGCTTCCCTCGGGTCCTCTTAAATGCAGAGAGGTGCGCTCGATTTGCCACACGGAGCAGCGCGAGAGTAAAGTATGAGGGAGGTGCTAATAATTTTTAATGATCGTTGAAAGCCCAGATCGTAATCGTGATTAAAATTTGATTAATTGAGCAGCCCTAGGTGAAACCACAGATAGGATTAAGGAAAAACTGTTCCTGAAGGCCCCGGCTTTAAGGCTGCGGACGGGGTTCGCTTTGAGTGATTTCTTGGAACCATTTCCAAAGATTGTACAGCAGACAAAAAACAAATTTGGATTTTCTCGGATCCACAGAGGCTCAAATATCTACGGACAGCCCCACTGACGATGAGACAAACATTGGTCGGCGGCAGAAACCTGGCTGGATCTCGCTCATATGAGCAGAGTTAGTGGGTTCATCACCTCCATCACAGCAAGTCCCACCTAAAGACTGAGACACGGAGATGCTGCATACTAATGGCACATTAATGCGATCACAGGATCGACTACACTGTGCTTACAGAACCTCATCAATACGATCATTTCTTCTTCAGTGTTTTAGAAGTGAGGCTGTTATTTCCCCCTCTCTCTATTTGGATGATATAAAATGAATCTTATGATTATTGTTATGAACTGTGGAAAATGAGAAGTAAAGAGTAAAACCTGCGATATGAACCCCACTCCATGCTTTAAATTAACTAGGTGAGCAGTCTCCAGTCTGTGTTCTGTCTTCCAGCCGATGAAGAAACAGAAATTAGAGCTGGTGTAGAAACACTTCTGGATGCTTGGACACTGGAACTGATTTAAGGCTCGTGCAGTTCCTTCTTTCTCCTCATACATCAGCTGGAACGTTAACCACATATTTATTTCTTCAAGTCTCTTCCTCCCACAGCCCCCCACAGCCCCCAACAGCCCCCCACGGGACCCCCACAGGACTCTGTGCGTAGCATGTTGTTGAAATAATTACACAGAAAGTTTAATCAGCTCTGAAGACTCTGCTACTCACTGCTGCATCACTTTCATCTGGACATTTTTATTTATAGACTTTATTAGTATTTTTCTCCCATTATTTATTCCAGGTGTGGGTTTTTATACTTATTTATTGAAATCACATTATCAGCTCGTATACTTTGCACCTACATGTGATGATGTATTCAGAGTAACTGGGTCACGCGTGTTTGTACTGTGTTTAGTTCCATTACAGAAAGACTGCGGCCCGTTTGCCATTCATTTACTGATGTACAAGACGCACCAACATCCTCAGAACGAAGCAGGAAACCCGAACGCTCGACCAGTAATCAGCGAATCAATCACCTCATTGATTAATCGCTTCATTGATACAGACGTTCAAGTCGCACTTCCACCTTGTTTCTCGCTCGTCAGCAGAGAGCAGCTTGTAAACATATAATGTTCTTCAGAGTGAGACAGTTCCAGTTCATTACCATTTCCCAGCATGCTCTCTCTCTCTCTCTCTC